GAGCAACCTGGTCTAGTGGAAGGTGTCCCTGCTGCTGGCAGGGGGGTTGGGACTGGATGAGCTTTAAGGTCCCTTCCAACCCAAACCAGTCTGGGATTCTGTGATTCTATGATTCTATGGTCTGACCTTGTTACTTGCAGAGGGCTTTGCATGAAATTCTAAACACTGTGGAAACACGTGGAGGGTGTGTGTGTGTGTGTGTGTGTGTGTTCAGAGCTCACTAGAACGCCTGTGAATTCTTACTGTGCAGGATCTCATTCAGGAAAGCACTAAAATGTGGAGTTCTAAGATTAAATAGATATTTATTTACTTAAGGGAGTCAGGGCTGAAATGCAGACAAAGAACAGAGCTTGAACTGGAGTGTAATGCCGAAAGAGTCCTGTTTCTTGCCTGTTAAGATGGTTCCTCTTAAGAAGGGCCTAACCTGGAGTTATTTTCTTGCAGATGAGCGAGGGCAGGACCACCTTAGAGCCGCAAAACTTAATTTAGTGGATCTGGCAGGAAGCGAGAGACAATCCAAAACCGGAGCCACGGGGGAACGGCTTAAAGAGGCCACTAAAATCAACCTCTCCCTCTCAGCTCTGGGCAATGTCATCTCAGCCCTGGTTGATGGCAGGTGTAAGCACATCCCTTACCGAGACTCCAAGCTGACCAGGCTGCTCCAAGACTCCCTCAGAGGGAATACCAAGACCCTGATGGTAGCATGCTTATCTCCGGCCGATAACAACTACGACGAAAGCCTCAGTACTTTGCGCTACGCTAATCGAGCGAAAAACATCAAGAACAAGCCTTGTATCAACGAGGACCCCAAGGATGCTCTGCTGAGGGAGTATCAGGAGGAGATCAAGAAGCTGAAGGCTATTCTAGCTGAAGAGATGAGTGCCAAGAACTTGTCAGGTAGGAGAACAGAGATGTTTTACCTTTGACAGAAAAGAAAGGTTTTTACATGCAAAATGCTCTCTGGATTTCACCTCAACCTTTCCCTTACTTGTTGGAGGAAGAGTTCTCCATGCCCATAATGGACTTTTCCTTCACTGTTGCCACATTGACTTTATTCCACTGTAGAGACCATCTCAGTTATCCAATATTTTCAATAATGACAAATTCTGATAGAAAATGCTGATGTGATTAAACTCTTCAGCTCTTCTTGGTCGTTCTGGCTAGAATTTGGTCAGTCATAGAAGAGAAGTTTCAGCTGGCAGAGCAAAAATGAACTGTTAAAGAAATAATAATGTAAAATTCTTTATTAAATATATATATATTTGTGTTTTCAAAGTTAGCATTCAGCCCCTGCTCTCCTACACTGTGAATTTTTGACGCTACAAGAAAAGTTTTGCCCCGCTGATGGCACTGCTTACAAAGAGCAGCACTGTCCTCTCTCTGAGGATTCAGCCCAGCTGACTCATTCTTTGCTAGGAAGTAGGAATAACAAATGTAGGAACCAATGGGTAAGAGCAATTTTTGGGGAGCTGATCTTTTGAGAATTATCCCCTAAAATAAAGGCAACTTTCAGCAAAGGAATAAGGCTGTAAGATTTTTTTTTCCCCCTTTTCTCCCACCTTTCAGAAACAGCTGTGAAGAAAGAAGGCAATTTCCTTGCACCTTTCATCTCCTTCCCAGTGTGTTTCATCTTCCAAATCTTAGCACAGCCTTGGAAACAAGTCTCCTGTTATTCTGTGAAAGAGATTAGATTTATATTCTCTTTCACATACCTAAAGCTTAAACCTCTTCCCCTCTGCTCAGCGCTGACTCCTTCTGTCCCCACACCTCTGGTGTCCCAGGCTGGTGGGTGTTTTGGCAGCGCAGATGCTGGCACACGAGCGCAGTTTAAAGGAGCGTGTGATGTTCTTTGCTGGCAGCCAGCTTCTTTCTTCTGTTTCCAGACATTCTACAGACAATCCCACCCAGTAATTGTGAGTGATTTTTATTTCTATTTTGCTTTGCAGGGCTTCTACCTGCTGAGACTGCTCACCTGGCAGTGAAGCCAGCTCCCCCCCTCAAACCCCAGTTAGATGTTGAAGCAGAGAAGCAGCTGATCAGAGAAGTAAGTCAGGAGGGAATATCCCGCAGTGTCTTTGTGGGTTTTTATAACAATCATTACAAATACAGTGTAAGACTGTGTGTTTCAGCCTTTTCCAAACACTTCCCTTCATATTTTGTTTGATCCTTGGGCTTCTCCTGTGGACAGAACCTGTGTTGATGGAGGCCTTATTTACAAAGCCACTTTCTCTCAGCATTGTTCCCACCTTTCTGGAGATGAATTGGAATGGATTCCCAAGAAAAATTATTGAAATACATATAACAAGAAGAAGAAACTACATGTGAGGCTTAGATTCCTCCTGTCAGAGGAGGGAGAAATAGTGAGGAGGAAAGCAGTAGTCAGAGATGTTAGGAATAGGACAAGGATGACGATAAAGAGGGGATATGGAACCAGGAGGAAGAGTGAAGAGTTGGAGGCCAGAAGGAAATAAAACTCTCTCTCCTTGCTCTTTACAAAGCTCCTCCCAGGGCACCACGTCTGCCCAAGACAGCAGTTTCTAGGGCTAACTGGTCACCTTCCATCAGTGCTGTGCCAGACAAAGTCAATGAATACAGGGTGGCAAAGTTTTATTGGGGTGGACACAAGATGTGCCCTCAAATGAACCTCGATGTGAGTTCTGGGCTCCTCAGTTCAAGAGGGACAGGGACCTTCTGGAGAGAGTCCAGTGGAGGCCACAGAGATAATGAGGGGCCTGGAGCATCTGCCTTCCAAGGAGAGGCTGAGAGAGCTGGGACTGTTCACCTGGAGAAGAGCAGCCTGAGAGGGGATCTGATCAATGTCTATAAATATCTAAAGGGTGGGTGTCAAGAGGATGGGGCCAGACTCTTCTCAGTGAAGGG